TGCGAAAATCGCTAGCTCGGGAGCCATGAAAGCTGGGGGCTGAAACTTGCAGAAAATGTTCCTAGCTCATCTACAACTTAAATTTATCAAATTTAGCTGTCCGTTATGCGTCGTTGCAACGTTTGGCTCCGTGAAAGTTTTTGGCGTGAAAATGGCTAATTCCGGAACCAGGGAAGCTGGGAGGCTAAAACTTTCAGGAAATGTTCCCAACTCATCTACAACTTAAATTTATTAAATTCAGCCCCCTGTTATGCGCGGTTGCCACGTATGGCACCGTGAAAATTTTTGGCGCGGAAATGGCTAATTCCAGAACCAGGGAAGCTGGGAGGCTGAAACTTTCAGGAAATGTTCCCAACTCATCTGCAACTTAAATTTATTAAATTCAGCGCCCCGTTGTGCGTGGTTGCCACGTACGGCCCCGTGAAATTTTATGGCTGGAATTTGGGTAACTCGGGAACTGAGAAAGCTGGGAGCCTGGAATTTCGAGGAAATTTTCCTTGTTCAATTATAGCCTAGATAATTAGCTTCCCGAAATTCGAGGACCAGTATGTACAAGAGATTTCTAGCTGGCGAAATTTCGAGTGATCTTATTACAGCACGAAACACTGCAAAAACGCATGATCGCACGGGCCCGCCTAGTGCGCGTCGCCAATGATTTAGCTTCCGTAGTTTGGAACTGAATCATACGTAAACAGGCCAATATGTGCAAATAGGATCTCGCCAAAAAAGAGAATAGTTTCTACGGAAACGCTAAAGAAGAAAGGAAGTTGGTATGCTTTGAAGTGAACTACCTTTCACCACGTAGCTTCCAACTACAACAGAGATAACGACGATTAAAAAAGCGGACAAAATATGACAAAGTAGCAAAAGAGGCGCATTCGCATAACTGGACCTGGTAATTGCCTTGCGCAGTTTCGTATCGGCCAGAATCTGGGCGGCTAAATTCAGATTCGATATTGATTCATCATTCTTGAAATTATGTGCACTACAGGCAATAAATTTACATATTCGGGAGTTGCTTTTACAGATTGGCAAATCTTCGATAGCGGAATAATTTGGCGCACCGAGAATCGCCGCGTCTCGCTCGGCAGCTGGCTCGGACTGCAACTAAAATAATGCGTAAGTCAAATTTGCTTAATGGGTAAAAGTCTGAATTTGAAAGAGAGTGCTACTTGCTCGACACACCAGCATAAACTCATCTGCTCTTTTTTCATACTTCTTCAATAAAACAGTCCGTACTCCCAGTTAAATGACCGTAATGATTAAATCTGTCCCCTTGATAATGAAATGAGACAGCGACGTTACTGTCCTCTACTTTTTTACAAACTAATTTCTGCATGTCCGAGTAGATAACCTTTTTCGGTAGCTCAGCCTGCAGCGGTTGCGAAGTGTCGATGATGGGTCTAATGAAATTCAGTGCTCCCTGAATTATATCGTCCAGTGACACTGAAAATTTCGTATACCTTAATCAAATACACGGTTTTAAAAAAAATAAATCCAGGCTGGAACGCACCGGACGGGCCTATGCGATCATACATTTTTGCACCGGACTTGAATTACTCAGGTCATTTGCTGTATGAATGCTGTTGCTTTACACTTACCTTTTGCGGTTATCAGCATAAATCACCATAAATTTTGCAAAGTAAATGTATATTTTCCATTTAACAGTCGTTCTTTAAAAGTAACCTAGTTATTCAATGAAAAATTTTTGCATCAAGACTTTTAAGCGCTCGTACATAAGAACCACGCATACCTCAATGCCGAAAATACTTAAGTTGTACTTGGACAGGGAACATTCCCTCAAAATTTCAGCCTTTCTGGTTACCGAGTTAGCAGTCTTCCCTCCAGAACCCTCACACAGCCGTACTTGGGTACTCCACGTGCTTGGCAAGCTGAATTTGAAATTTTTAAATTGCACTATGGACAGGGAACACCGGCCTAAAATTTCAGCCTTCCAGCTCTTCTGGTTGCCGAGTTAGTTATTTTCCTGCAGAAACTTTCATATGCCCTTACGTGAGTACCATGCATAG